GTGGTGCCCGATGATGTGGAGGCCATCGCCAGCGAGGTGGCCGCCTTTGCTGCTCGCTTCACCTACGTGCTCACCTCGGGCGGCATCGGCCCCACGCACGACGATGTGACCTTCGAGGCCGTGGCTAAAGCCTTTGGGGAGCGGGTCGTCCTCCATCCCGAGCTGGTGGCGCTGGTGCACAAGTTCTTTGGCAAGACGGAGGAGCAGTGCCCTGAGATGAAGCTGGCTCGCATCCCCGAGTCCTCCCGCCTCAACTACGGCACGGACAGGCACACGGGCAGCGCCTTCAAGTACCCGCTGGTCAGTGTGCGCAACGTGTACATCTTCCCCGGCATCCCGGCGCTGATGGAGCGGGCCCTGGATGGCCTCGCTCACCTCTTCCGCAGCAAACAGACCCATTTCCACTCCCGCACCGTCTATGTGGCTTCTGATGAGATGCTCATCACGCCGGTGCTGGATAGGGCTGATGCCGCCTTCCGGGGCCGTGTCAGCTTGGGCTCGTACCCAGACTGGACCAGCAATTACTACCGTGTGAAGCTGACCCTGGACTCAGAGTCAGAGCAGGACCTGGAGGAAGCGTATGGCTTCTTGATGAGGGAGCTGCCAGCGGGTGTTGCTGTGCCGTTGGTGACAGACTGTGTCTCTCCAGCAGCTGTGGAGGTTTATGGCCTGGCTGAGTCAGGTACTGGGAAGAGGTGCTGCAGCACAGCTCTGTGCAGCCTAACAGGGCTGGGGCAGTGGGAACTCCAGCCTGGCAGCAAAGCTTGCCTGTGGTGTGCTGGGAGGCTTGAGGCATGCTGCAGCTGCAGTGGGCTTCATCCCATACAGGTGGGAATGGGACCTGTAACCTCAGAGCTGGTGGTGGCAGTGTCTGAGAGCACAGTGTGCAGCAGTAGCTGCAGTGCCACAGTTCCCCATGTCCTCATGATCCCTGTCACGTTGTGGCCCAGGTCCCTGGGCTGAACAAGCTCTTGGCTGTGGTACCAGAGGGTGAAGTGCCCTAGGCCCTGGGGCCGTGCTAAGGGAACATGAGCTGGGCAGGCACCAACTGTCCTGTCCTGGCAGGCTCGGCCCTGGGGCAGAAGGTGGCAGCAGCCCTGAGGACCATCGAGGAGGCTTTGGACCAGTACAGCTTGGTCCAGCTCTGCGTGGGCTTCAACGGGGGCAAGGACTGCACAGCCCTGCTGCACCTCGTCCATGCTGCTGTGCAGAGGTACGCACGCATGGGGCTCCAGGCTGGGGCAAGGCCCAGGGGTCCTGCAGACCCTGGCCAGGGCTCTGGGGCTCTTGATTGCTCCACCCTGGGGGAATGAGCAGATTCCTGGGCTCTAGCTGGTCGGATCTGGACGCTGCCTTGCCTCCATTTGCCATGGGTCAGAGTCCAGCGGCACTGGGTCTCTCTGCAGGCGGTTCCCAGCAAGGAAGGAGAAGCTGCAGGTGCTCTACATCCGCATTGTGTCCCCATTCCCTGAAATGGAGCAGTTCATTCAGGCAACAGTGCAGAGGTAGGAGGCACAGCGGGGTGGGCAGCTGCCCAGGGGCTGTGCAGTGCAGCCTGCAGCCAGCTGCCCACCCTGCCTGTGCAGGTATGGGGTCCAGCTCTGCACTGTGGAGGGCTCCATCCGGGAGGCCCTGGTCCAGCTGAAGGAGCAGCAGCCCCAGCTGGAGGCTGTCCTGATGGGAACGCGGCGCACGGACCCCTACTCACGCACCCTGACCCCCATGTGTGCCACAGACCCCGACTGGCCCCCTTACATGCGGGTGAACCCCTTGCTGGTACGTGGTCTGTGAGCCCACCCTGCTGTGGGGCTGGAGCTGTCGCCACAGGGCCTGGCAGGGGGATCTGATGGGGCTGGGAACCAGCAGTGATCCACCCCCATCCTGGACAGCTTCTCTCACTCCCCCAGAGTATTTGCTGCCCCTCTGTGCAGCTGTGGGTGCCCCTTGCTGCAGTGGTGCTGCTGGGTGCTGTTGGGCAGGGCTTGTTCTTGCCTGCTGGGGGGTTGCCCTGTGTTTGGGGAGGTGCTGGGAGGGCTGGTGGTGCTCTCATGACCATCTGGCTCTCTCAGGTGCTCTCCAGGAAGGTCTGGTTTGCTTCCCTGGGATTCAAGGGAGCAGCCTTTTGCCTCTGCCTCAATCCCTGCCCAATTCTGCCTGCAGGACTGGACCTACCGGGACATCTGGGAGTTCCTGCGCAAGCTCTTTGTCCCTTACTGTATCCTCTATGACAGGGGGTGAGTGCCCAGTGCTGCCCTTCTCACATGCACAGCCAGTGGCCCTGGCTGCAGTCCTGCAGCTGCTTCTTCCCTCCACAGCTACACATCCCTGGGGAGCATGACCAACACAAAGAAGAACGCAGCTCTGCGCTGCACCGATGCTCAGGGCCGGGAGAGCTACAGGCCTGCCTATGAGCTGGAAAATGAGGAAGAGGAGCGCACCTCCCGCCAGTGAAGGCCACATTCTGGGAGCCTCCTCCATTGGAATGCTGCTGGGAGTGACACTGAATAAAGCTGCTGCCTGTCAGCACTAAATAAACCTGCTGCAGTCTGCACTGCGCTGGCACGTGGTCTTGTTGAGCCCTGAGGGCTCCATGGGGCAGGAGTGGGAGGAACAAAAGGGTCCCCAGGTTGTGCCCTGTCTGTGCACCCACTATTGTAGGAGTTTTGGAAATGCAGAGAATGTGGCAGGTTCCAGTGCTTGCCAGGGCCCCACACGTCAGCACTGCTGCCTCTCCCACCGTGTCAGATCCTGCTTATTCCTCATGGGCCATGCACCTCCTCTGGAGCATGGCAGCCTGTCTGCAGGGTGCCCCCCAGCAGGTGGCACGGGTACAGGCCCTGGCACTGCCAGCACCCACTGCCACCTCCCTGGGGCTGCGCCTGGGCTCCTGGTTGCTGCGGCTTCTGTGGAAATGCTTCTACTTCCTTCTCTGCAGCTGGTGCATCCGTGAGCTGCTGGACTAGGGAAGGAGCCTCCCAGTGTCCCAGGATCCCGTCAGCCCCTGCCTGCCCTGGTGCTGTGGGTGAGTGACCTGCCTGCAGCTTGACTTGGCATGGTGCTTGGAATGTGACAGGGGCTGGGCTGTGGTGTTTGGGGGTGACAGAACCAGCCAAGGTGCTCCTGGAGTGAGAAGGGCCTGGCTGTGGCAGTTTTGGGGGTTGAGAGAGTGTGGCCTTGGTACTGGTTAGTGCATTGTTACCCCCTGTGCCTCTCTCCCCTCCCCAGGACTGTCCTGTTGCCCTGTGCTGATGGAGCTGATGGACCTCTGGCGCTGACACTCTGCTCCAGCCTGTGCTGCCCCCGATCAGAGACCCCAATAAACCTGAGCAGTGCCTGATTGGTTGCATCTGTTTGGGCAGAGCTCTGGCAATGTCTGTGTGTGTGTGTGTGTGTGTGTCCAAACCTCCTGATCCTAGCCCTGGGAAGCACTAAGGCACTCCAGCACATCCCTTGCCCCTATCCAGGACTGAGGGTCCCCACATCCCTTGGGGCCAAGGGGCAAGAGTGGGGGGCTCTCTGCATCTCCTGCCTGCTCCCCCACTCCTGGCTGTTTCCTGTTTCACTCTGAGGGAAGCAGCTAGAGCAGAATATCTGCAATGGGCCCAGCCTGGCTGGGAGCTCCAGGAAAGGTCGTGGCTGTGGGTCTGCGAGCCCACCCTGCCCCACTGCTGCCTGTGCTGCTGCCTGGTCCCAGCGCGGGGGAAGCTCTGCATGCCCCGTCCTCGGCAGCAGCGCTGGCGCCAGCGTGGCCTCCCTTATCTCGGCGGGAAGTCAGGAGCAGGAAGCCTGGCCCGGCGCGGGATAAGGGTCCCGTTTACATTAGCTCCTTTGTTGTGGAGCAGGCTCCCACCCTCACCCACTGCCCGCGGGGGGGCCCCGGCCAGGTCAGGATCTGAGGAGCAACAGAAACCCTTGTCCAAAATGCCACGAAGGGCTTAGGTGGTCCTTGCAATGATCCATGTGAGGGCACGAGTAGGGATGGGGTCTGCAAAGACTCTGCCTTGTGGTGTCCCCCTGCCCAGATCAGCTCTCAGCTGGACGCTGCCCTGTGCCTGTGCACTGGTGTCTGTGGTAGCTCCTGGCTGCCTTGGTAGCACCGTGCTGGGCATCCCTGAGCACTGCAGCCCACGCATCTTGTGCCATGTCCTGGTGTGGTAGCCCTGATGTGCTGGCCCTGGCGGTGGCTCAGCCCCAGGGCTGGCTGGGATGAGGGAAATCAATGAATTCCCCAAACGGGAAGGTCCGGGGGAGGGGAGAGCACAGGAAAAAGTGCAGGCAGTGACGCATGACGGGCAGAGCAGTGCCGGCCGCCCCGAGAGCACAGCCCCATGCAGTGCCCTGGAGCCTCTCACCCACCTCCACCACCCACCGTGAGTGAGCCCCTCTTCGGCAGGGACCCCTTCCCCAGCCCCATGACAGACAGGGGGTGAGGGGGGAGCGGGTGGCTGCTGTGGGCAGGAGCACAGGCAGGTTCCCCAGCAGTGAGGGTTGGTTTTGGGATCGTGTCTGATGCGACCTTGGGGATGCCAGCAGCAAATCCAGGCAAAGCAGCCTTGCCAGGGATCTGGGTGGACACAGGAAGATGCACAGGGACCCCACTGGAGCCACAGCTCTCTGAGGGCACGGGGGGTGATGCCTGTCTCCGTCCTGCAGGTGGTCCCCACGACCACGGCATGTTCCGTTCGCGCCGAGCCGGGCTGGTGCGGAGGCTGTGGCGGCAGCGCTGTGCAGCAGCCAGCCCCGAGGACGGCCCCGCTGCCCTCAAGCCAGCGGTGCATGCTCTCTTCAAGAAGCTGAAGGATGAGGAGCTGGAGCTGCTGGTGCAGGTGGTGGAGAGCCGGGGTGCCTGGGAGTCCGGCTGCGTTCTGGCACCAAGGGGGGACCCACGAGGGGTCAAACAGGGACTCCCCCCTCAAGTCCTGCTCTGTCGCCTCTTCCGCTGGCCTGACCTCCACCAGTCCCATGAGCTCAAGCACCTCTGCTACTGTGCTGGGGGCCAGGGAGCCTGCGGGGACTTGGCTGGGCTGTGCTGCAACCCCCATCACTTCAGCCGCTTGGCTGTACCTGGTGAGTGCTGGCGGCAACGCTGGAGGCTGCCTCTCCCAGCCAGGCTCTGACCCCTGCTCTCTGGGGCTGCCTCAGGCCTCCAGGGGGGCAGGATGCACTCCTGGCCTCCTATTTCCCTCTCTCTCCTCTGCAGAAACCCCACCACCCCCGTACTTGAAGGCATCCTGTGGTCCCTCCTGGCCAGATGAGCCCCAGCTCATGGAGTTCAGCTACGACGGTGGGGACTGGTGCGGTAAGATGGGCCCAGCACACTGGGAGACACACAGGGCACAGCCCTCTGCCACACCCAGCAGGCAGGAGGGCACTGGGCAGGGCTGAACCCCTGAGTCAGGAGCAGAGATTGGAGGGGACAGAACATGAAAATCAGGGAATGGAGCCAGCAGTCACTCCCAGCAGGAGGAAAAGACTCCGACAGGGGATGAGGGGTTCCTGCTGGGGGAGCGCTCTGGCCCAGACGCCCCCCCGCCACTGAAGCTGCTGTTATTTTTGGCAGCGCCAGGCTCCCTGCTGGAGGAAGCGCTGCCTATGGGGACACACACAATGTGCCTTGACGCACACAGCCCCAGCTCCCGCCTGGCTGCTGTCCACCAAGGCCACCAGCTGCCACTGCCCCACCTTCCCCTGCACTCAGGGACCAACCCCCCTGACAGCCCTGCCCCAGCCCTTCACCATGGCGCTGGGGGACTGGGAACAGCTCCAGAGGCTCACACCCAGCACAGGACTCTGCACTGAGGCATCCCTGGTGCACCACGTCCATCTATCTGTCCTCACACGCCCTCTGTGCCCACTCCCCTTGGCCCTTCCAGCTGCTTGGCTCAGTCACATCCTGCTGGTGACAGCTCTGCTCTTCCCTTGCCAGACACCAGTCTCTCATGGAGCACCATCAAGGACGGCTGTTGGTGCAAACTGGCTTACTGGGAGTACCGGACGCGCGTGGGCCGCCTGTACGCTGTGCACGAGGCGTCGGTGAACGTTTTCTGCGAGCT